GACCACGAAACAGACTAGTGTACCTACATTGTGTACCTTTATTTTAATGCTTCTCTCTACTTTTTACCTCTGTTCCCTCAACGTGGGTAGAGCAAATGGATAGCAACGGGCCCTGGCACGAAAGCCATGTTAATGGTTTTACAAACCAAATCCTAACAGCATCCGACTCATTAAACATGAGCGATATTCGGTTTATCTACAAATATGGAAACCAAGTTGTCAGAATGGTTTGTTTGGACACAAATTAAAAACATAAACCGATCTTCAGCAAATCAGCAAAGCTAAAACCATCAAATGAAAAGTAAAACTGGCTGAAAAAATAACCCCTTACAGGCACAGATGGACAACAGAAATATTTGACTAGTGAAGTTATTTCATTCGAAAGTACCTGTGAACTTTATTGCCGAATGGACTATGCTGACAGCGATCATAGTTGCTATCTTGAAACAACATATCACCGCCAGACCTCTATACCCTATTCTCATAAAGAGCACCATTCGTCTGTCCTCTCATTCAGTGAATTAGACTGATGTGATATACCCGGAACGCCTGGAACACTATTGTAGCGGTAATTATATTGCAGTTAAGCTTTAAAAAATTGTACAATAGGCGACGGGTAGAAAAACAGATAAACAAGGAAGAGAAAGCCAGAGGTGGTAGTTGCCGAGGCGAGGAAGTACACCACATAAAAAGAGAATAAAAATGTTGGATTCGGAAGACAGTTTGCATCTTACAAAAACGGATATAGCAAGCCACGCGTACACAACACTCCCCGATTGATCCTTGCTTAACACAGCACTCAGTGACTCTAACCATCGAACGTCATCACTATTGCAGCCTGAACCCCAGCACAGACAGTCAATTCATGGGTCACCTGCTGCACACCTTCTAGTTGAATTGGGGATCCACACCAGGACACGGTGTGTTGGCATTGGTAGTAAGTAGCTGAAAGTCACATAAACCCACAGATAACTACTCAAAAGACCTGTAAGAATTCTGTCAATAGACAACCGCTTCGACTGCGATAGCTCTCTCATTCTAAAATGGTTAGATCCGGTCCATATCACATTTCTGCCGGCCTTGAATATAGGTTAGGAGGGCATTGACTTAATAGTGTTCAACAATATGACACCCAATACTTCACTGTTTGGTAAGGTAAGAAAGATGATTTTCTAAATAAGAGCCTACGACTTTTGGGCAAGGCATACTTCGAGGATGCTCACGCCGACGAAGGGGTTTTTCTTTGGGAAC